GGGGCAGCGGCCGGCGCGCCGGGCGGGACGCGGGCACTGGGTGACACCGGCCGTCCCCAGGATGTGGCTTACACAGGACAAAGGAATCCGCTGCGTCGGCCTCTCTTTTGCCGTCTGTAAAATGAGGCCATGGATCTGCGTCCGACCCTCCGGTCGCCGGGGGGCTCCGGGACTCTAGCGGGGCTGCGTCCCGCCCTCCGCAGCTTTGCCAGCAGATCCCTCCCGAGAGGAACGCTGCACTCCGCTTTGGACTTTTCTTTTTGTCTTTTTGGCAGTACTGGGGATTGAACCCAAGGTCTGCTTGCTGAGCTACATCCCAGCCCTATTTATTTATTTACTTATTTATTTATTATTGAGTCGAGTTCTCGATAAGTTGCTCAGGCGGGGCTCGAATTTGGGATCCTCCTGCATCAGCCTCTCAGCGTGCCGAGATTACAGGCAGGCGCCTCCACTGCCCGGCAGTGCTTTGGACTTTTGCGCCCCCACTCGTCCGTGTCGGATCAGATAGAGGAAAGGCCGAGGAGGCGGTGGGACGGACCGGCTAGCCGGGGGGACCGCCTCCCTCCCTCCAGTGGCCTTGGCCGCCTGCGGTATCTCTCATGGTCCTCCTCCCCCGCCGAGGCCCCAGGGACGGTGGGGCCTCCCGCAGGCTGCTCCGCAGGACGCCCTACTTCCTTTGCTGTCCCTCAGCATCTCACGGGGCCCCTCAGAACGTTCCCCATCATCCCGTAGAAATGGAGTCCACGAAAGCAAGAAGGTCCCGGCTGGGTTCCAGCTCCGGTGTCCCGGGAAATATCTGCCACCCGGGCTGGAGCGGAAGCCTGTAGTACCCCCGCTGGCCAGCCGGAAAGATGTCTCTGTCTTAGCCGCCCTTTTCAACCCCTCCTCTCGGCCCCGCCCAACCTGCGCCCCGCCCCGCTGCCCCCATGGGCGGCTTCCCAGGAGCGGGACCCTGAAGGCCCGGCGTGGGCGAGTTTGTAGAGGGCGATCCGGCTCTTCACGGGAGGAGACACTGCGGCCACCTTAGGCAGGTGGCCCTGCTCTTTCCCCCTCTGGACCGTTTTTTTCCCACCCTGGAGCAGCCCCAAGAAGGTGTGGCTGGGAGGGGTGGAAGAGGAGGCCAGGCTCCTGGGCCTAGCAGTGCCCTCCTCCCCCAGCCGGGTCAGAGGCGGGATTAACCTGCTATTTAAAGCCAGTGACTAATAGCCCTTTGGGAGCTGCCTGAGCTCCCTGGGCCCCGCGGAGGAGGCCAGGCTGTTCAGGCTGAGGACTTCTCGCCTGGGAGGGGGGCCCACTGGGGCTCCAGGGCTCCAGGGCTCTGGTGGGGAAGAAGTGAGCTTTCTGCTGCTCACCCCAAATGTCAGGTTTGGGTGGGGGACGTGTGCAGTCCTTTGCTCCAGCCCAGCCTGTCCCTATGTTCTCCGGTGGGGTGGAGTGTGCACCTCTGTCAGCTACGGCCCCACCTGGGAGCCGCTGTGGGCTCCCCAGCCCTGCTACCGCCTCCTCGGCCCTCCCCAGTCTCTCAGAGGTAGCCTGCTCCTCAGCCCCTGCCCTGACTCGCCCTCAGCTTTCACCCAGGGGGCTTGGCCTGCAGCCCCCAGGCTCTCCTCACCCCCGGAGCCCATCAGGGTCTGCGCTCACTGGGGGCTGCCTCGGCTCCTCCCTCCCTACCGGGACCCACAGGCCTTCCCCGCCCCTCACCTGGGGGAGCGTGTGTTTTCCTGTTGGACTGTTTGGAGAGGTGAGAGAGAGGTTAAAGCCACTAATCTGCTGCACACAAACTCCACCCTTGGCTTCTTCAGTTCCCCCAGTGCTGGCGTCACGTGTGTGCACCACAGTGACTGAGAGAAACTTATCATTTTTAAGGTCCCTCCCACCCTGCTCTTCCTCAGCATCTTATTCTCCAGCATCTCGTTGTACCCTGGGTGCTTCTGCTTTTCTCTACAGTGCTTGTCCCTAAGCCCCAGTCTGTCCCCGCCCCATCCATCTTTTAGACCCAGCTCAAATGTCCCGTAGCTGGTGAACTTTCCACTTCCTGGCAGAGCCCTGTGCCAGAGGTCCAGCTCACAGGCCACCCCGCCATCAGCTCCTGGCCTCCTCTTTCCCGCCGGTCTCTGGAGGCCTGGCCTGCACCTGACTTCTGTCTTGGAGTCCAGCGTACACGTGGCAGTTGGTCCGCCCAAGTGTTTATTGAGTGCTTGAGGCAGGGTTGCTGTTGCAGGTGACTTCTGTGACTCCAGCATATGCCTGAATGGTGGGACCTGCTTGCTGGGCCAGGACAGTGTCTCCTCCTACTGCCTCTGCCCTGAGGGCTTCACGGGCCTCCTTTGCAATGAGACCGAGAAAGGTAAAGGGCCCTGCAGAGGCCAGGCCACTGCACCAACCCCCAGCCGCTGCCCCTGTCGGCGGTGGTCCGCACTTCTCCCTGTGGCAGCCAGCATCCCCTGGAAACTCCCAGGCCACTTGGAAATCTGGGCCGGCCCTGGACTCGGGCAGGTTTGCCTACCCATGAGCCTGCTGGGTTCCCATTGGCTCAGGCTGCACCAGGCGATGACAGGAGGGGACTGAGTGTGGGCAGAGGGTCTTTCTCTGCTAGCCCCATCTGCCACCTCTGATCGCCTACCCGTCTTCTCTGCCTCTTGTTCCCAGGTCCCTGTTCCCCAAATCCCTGCTACCACAATGCTGGGTGTCAGGTCGTCGACAGCTCCCACCGAGGGGATGTGTTCACCCCATACGTCTGTGACTGCCCTCCGGGCTTCGTGGGCATCCACTGCGAGTCGAGTGAGTACCCGGGTGCTGCTCGGGGAAGACCGGGGTCCTGTCCTGGTGCCCAGGCTGCGGGCTGCCCCTGTGCCCTGGGGAGATGCTGAGGCGGGGGCAGAGCCTCAGTGAAGGGGGAAAGGGTGGTATTGTCCTTTCTTTTAGCCTGGCCCTTCCTCCCCGGACCGCAGGTCCGGGCTGATGTCACTGTCTGGGAGTGGGGGGTTGTAGTGACCCCGGAGGTCGTGGGAATGCTCTTTCCTGAGTCCCCCTGGGCTGCACAGTGTTAGGGTTAATTCTGGAGATTTTCGTGCCAATCCAGGCGAATAAACACATACATTCCTTTGGGATCAGGCGTTCAATAAATCAGGCTTGGCCCAGATTTGACCTATGACCTGTGTCACAAAGGTCATGGGGAGGAGGAAGATGTCTGGGCAGGCTGGACCATCCCCTCGGGTCAGGTGGCCAGCGGCCCAGTGTGTGCGGAAAGGCAGGTGGCCCCCTTGACCTGCTTGATTATCCACTCAGCCACAGGACGAGGAGGAGCCTGGCCAGAGCCCCCGCCCTGGGGCCCACTGCCTGAGGGCTGTTCCTGCCCCGGGGCCATGTTGAGCCCAGGATGGGTGGGTGAGGGGTCCAGATTCCCCCTGTCCAGCCGGCCCGGCGCTGAGTGTCTGGGGCTGGGGGCAGGTGGCCTCTGTTCTCTGCCAGGTGGACGTGGGCTGGGCTCTGATGATCACTGCCTCAGCCTTGGCTGGTGGGAGCTGGGGCTGGGAGAGCAGGCAGGGAGCCCAGATGCCCTCCGCCTCAGAGGAGGCCTGGACTGAAGCCAGAGGTGTTTAGGATGGGGGAGGGGTCGCTAGGCAGACAGCCTGGGTGGAGCCAGGGGCCGGTAATTACCCTGGGAGCTGAGGTAACCGTGGGTGTGCCTGTGTGGAATTACCCACCTGGCCGCCTCTTTTTTTGTTACTGAGGATGGAACCCAGGGCCTTTGCACTGAGCTACATCTCCAACCCTTTGTGCATTTTGTTTTGCTTCGCTTTGTTTAGACAGGGTATTCGTAAGTTGCTAAGTTCTTAAGGATGGCCTCCAACTTTCAATCCTCCTGCCTCAGCCTCCCAGGTCCTGGGATTTACAGGCATACGCCACCACTCTAACCTGGCCATCTTTGAACTTCTTGGCCTGGGGTCTTCCTGGCTTGATATAGTCACACCTGGGACACAAGGTGGGAGGTGACCTTAAAGGCTGGGGGAGTCCCAGGGGGACCTTAGGGGCCCTGTCTTGATTGTCCTGTGATTCTTTCCTGGAGCCAATGCTGAGATTGCATACCGGATCCCTCGGGGTGGTCCTGGGGGCTGTGAGGATGGTCTTGGAGGCAGAGCTGGTCCCTGGCTGTCCCTGATCTTGGGTGTCAGTCCACTGTTGGAGCAAGAGAGTGCTGGCACTGAGCTCAGCCCAAGCTGTCAGGACACGCCTGTCCCTGAGTCCCCACCCTGGCACATGCCGTGGGGACTCCAGGAGTGGGGGGGCCCAGCCTGCTGGCAGGCATAGTGGCCATCCTGAGTCTTGGTACCATGTTGCTGGGGTGATGAAAGTGGTGACGGGGCCACCCAGGGAGGGGCATGCTCACAGCTGGCTGGTGGGTGAGCGCCCTTGGGCGGTACAGAGGGCACAAGGGAAAATAGAAGGTGTTGACGCATCACCCAGGAACTTGGGGGAGAGGAGGACGGTTCTGGAATACCCAGGCAGGCTCGTGTATTGCTTTGTTCTGTTCTCGGGTGTCTAAGGTCTCCCGTTTCCCAAAGTCACCCTCCTGGGGACACCGAGGAAGAGCGTCACACTGGTGTCTCCCGCACGGTCCACCTCACACCGGTGCTGCCCAGTGTAGACCGTGTGCCACAGCCTGGGGGACTCCCTGCCAGACTCGCCTCTCCTGGCCGGGTTCTCTGGCAGCGCTGGGTCCCAGGTCCTCCCTCCCTCTTGGCCCTGCTCTGAGTGAAGGTCTAAGGTGCCCTCTGGGGCTGCACCCTTGTTGTCTTGTCCCGCTGGGCCCTGGGGCTTCCCCGGGGGGGCCCCTGACCCTCCTGACTTTCCGTGCAGAGTGCATGACGAGCCTGGGCATGGAGGGGGGCGCCATCGCTGACTCGCAGATCTCTGCGTCGTCCCTGCACATGGCCTTCCTGGGCTTGCAGCGCTGGGCTCCGGAGCTGGCCCGGCTTCACCGCTCAGGCATCGTCAACGCCTGGACAGCCAGCAACTACGACAGGAAGCCCTGGATCCAGGTGCGAAGGGGATGCTTGTGTGGGGCTGGGTGGTGGGAGGGACGATTGTGGGAAGAGGGTGCCTGTGTTGGGGGGTTGTACCCAGGCCCAGGGAGGTGACGGGGGTGTGGGTGAAGGTCTGGAAGCCTGGTGGAAGCGGCTGGGGTCGGGGTGGTGGCCATGCAGCGGAGGAGCTGTCTGCCAAGGACGAGGTCTTGGTGGTCCTTCCCCAAGTTGTGGGGTTTAGGGGGCCAGCGGGCCTGGGTCTTGGAGATAAGGTGCTGTCTTTTTGCCTGGGGACAGGTAAACCTTCTTCGGAAGATGCGAGTGACAGGTGTGGTGACCCAGGGTGCCAGCCGTGCAGGCAGTGCCGAGTATGTGAAGACCTTCAAAGTGGCCTACAGCCTCGACGGACGCAAGTTCCACTTCATCCAGGATGAAGAGGGCTCCGGGGACAAGGTGGGGCGTGTAGGCTCAGCACCCCGGGTGGAGTTCCAAGGTAGACGGAAGCAAGGGCACCCTGGGTGATTGGCCATGAGGTGCACTTTAGTGTCTAGAAATTGATGAAACCATTGTCCATGTTCCGTGGTTACAAGTCATAGCCCCACTTTATAGATGAGAATAGATGAGAATAGTGGTGCCATGACCTGCGGTGGGGAGCAGTGTTGGTGCAGCTGGATTTCGTTCTGAACCGTCAGGTTGCTGTGTACAGTTGCGCAGACTGTCCCTGCTACGTGGACTGTGTTCACAATGCAGATGTGGTACATCTGTGTAGTTCTAGCTGTTGGAGAATTGTCCCAATAAAGTGTCACGCGGAAGGAGTGCCTTTTCCTAACCAGAGGCTCTTCTAGGTTATGTGTAGCCGCACGTGAAATGTGGGGGTTTGTGTCCAGTCCCCGAGATGACCAAGGAAGGTGCAGAAGGAGAATCTGCTTTGTGGGTGGGGGTGGCTGCCTGAGTCCCGCTGGCTCTGCTGGCTCCTCGCTGACCCGGTCTCGGCCCTCCCTGCTAGGTGTTCGTGGGTAACATCAACAACAGGGGCCTGAAGGTCAACCTGTTCAGCACCCCGCTGGAGACGCAGTACGTGAGGCTGTACCCCGTGGCCTGCCACAGGGGCTGCACCCTGCGCTTCGAGCTCCTGGGCTGTGAGCTGAACGGTGAGTGTGGGGGCTGCAGCCAGCTAGGGGGTAGCCTTCGCTGCTCCCTCTTTTTCGAGCTGGCCAGGGCTGGCAGCAATACCCAGGGACGTGGGTCACACCGGATGCCCGCACTGGATGGTCACCTGCCTGGGCGTGTGCCGTCTGCCACCTATAGCTGTGGACTCTGGTTAGTCAAGAGAAAACTCCAGTTTCCACAGTATTCTCACCCAGCCCAGTCGGGCCCTGGTGCCTGTAGAACACGCAGGTGCTGGGGAAGTCTGGGTGAGTGGCTGGATGAGGGAAAGAGGGAAGAGGCACCCAGGTACATCATGGACCAGGGGTACACAGCTGCAGTGTGATGCTCGGTGGGGAGCCAGGGAGCCCAGCTGGTTGGAGCTGGTGTTTGCTACTGCCCTACCCAGAGAGACGCCTAAATGGAGAGTTGGGAGGAACCAGAAGGGAGCAGGTTTCTGCTGAGCCAGGCAACACCGTTGGAGAGGATGGAGCGCAAGGTTTGTGCTTCAGGTCTGGGGATTTCTTTGAGTCGCAGCGCCATCTGCTGGCCATTTGTGGGACTGCATATATTGGGCAGCAGGCAGAGAAATGGCTGGTCACTGCCCGGCTTGTCCCGTGTGACTCCCCCTTCCCCTCCCCCTCCCCCTCTGGCAATTCTTCCTGTTATGTTATTTTACATACCACCCACCACCACATGGATCGGGGTTCTGTGGCTTGCTGGCTTTCATCTTCGTGTGTGTGTGTGTGTGTGTGTGTGTGTGTCTGTTACTAGGGATGAACTCAGGGCTTCATGTAGGCCAGGGAAACACTCTACCACTGAGCTACACTTCCAGCCCTCCTGTGCCTGTCACTCTCTCTTCTTTTTCTCTTTTTTTCATGATGCTGGGGATTGAACACAGAGCCTTTGCACTGAGCCTCATTTCCAGCTTTTTAAATTTTTTATTCAGGGACTCACTAAATTGCTAAGTTGTCTAGGTTGGAATTGAACTTGTGATCCTCTTGCCTCAGCCTCCCAGAGTGCTGGGATTACAGGAGTGCACTGCTACACTTGGTCCCCATCTCTGTGTGAACTCGAGTCCTCTCCAGAGCCCACTGCCTTTCAACCCATATTGTTTTTTTTTTTTTTTTTTTTTTTTTGGTACTGGGAGTCAAACTTGGGGCCCCACGCTTGCCAGGCAGGTGCTGTGCCACTGAGCTACATCCTCAGCCCGAGCCATATTGTTTTAAAGGGGCAGTGAAAGGAAATTTAGGCACCGGTTGAGAGGCAGAGGCAAGTCTGTGGCCTCTCCTTGGGGCCCTGCCCCTCGCTTTCTTGGCCTGGCCCCTTTGTCCTCGAAGTCTCCTGGGTGATTATTGCCATCACTGCCTGCTCCTCCCAAGGCCACGAGCCTCCCCTGTGGGCTGTGGGGTGGCCTTGCCTCTTGGGGGCAGGAAGGGCTTGGGTGTGTGTGAGCACAGCGGCGCGTGTGCCTATGGCAGTGCACAGGACGTCAGTGTGTGCAGACGTGGGTAGGTGCTAAGGGGGTGGGGCTGGAGGAGGATGCAGGGGTGCCCTGGGCCCCAGGATTCTGACTTCTAATTGCTGGCTGCTGGCCGCAGGTGTGTTGTCAGGCACGTGGCTGAGCCTTTCCTAGAGGTCTGCACAGTCTGGTGCTTCCTGCCTCAGCCTCTGAGTTCTCATCTGTAGGATGGGTGGCTCATAGCTGCACCGCTCAGGTTTTCTTTCCAGTGGCTGAAGTGGCAGCTGAGGTCAGCATGGGGCAGAGGCGGTGGTTGTCTTCGCATCTGCGAAGAGAGTCCCACAGTCCTGGGGCGTGGCTGGGGGTGCTGCGCAGGTGGGAGGGAGGGCACCGTGGAGTATCTGAGGCTGGGTCCTAAGGAGGGTGGGAGGTGGTGCGACTGGGTGCCCTGGACCCCAGGAGAGGAGCATCGGCCCAGGAGTCTCGTGTGATCTGCCAGGCTCTGGTCAGCGTGAGGGAGCTGAGGCGGGCAGGCTGCATGAGGAGAGGGCGGGTCAGGCCGTAGCAGGTGGGACATTTGCATGGAGCTTCTTTCTCTTGTCCCAGAGGATGACAGCTGGGGTATGGTGGCAGCATCTGTAGTCCCAGCTACTTGGGAGGCTGAGGCAGGAGAATTGCTTGAGCCCAGGAGTTCAAAGTCAGTTTGGGAAACTTAACGAGGCCCTGTCTCAAAAAAAAAGTTCAGGGGCAGATTAGGATCTACACTCTTTCTGCTCCTTCCCCTTCACGGATTTGTGCCCCCACCCCGTGAGCTGCAGCTCTCAGATGGGGTGATGGGGTGACGGCTCCCTTTGCCAGCAGGATGCTCCGAACCCCTGGGCCTGAAGGACCACAAAATCCCCGACAGGCAGATCACAGCCTCCAGCAGCTACAAGATGTGGGGGCTGCGAGCCTTCAGCTGGTTCCCCTTCTTCGGGCGGCTGGACAATCAGGGCAAGATCAACGCCTGGACAGCGCAGAGCAACTCGCCGAATGCCTCCGAGTGGCTGCAGGTGGGTGTCCGGCCAGGCTTCTGATCCCTGGAGACTGCGACGCCTTCTTTTTCTCTGGCTTCCCTCACTCTTCCTCCCATGGGCCCACCTTTCTCTTTGTTGTGTGTGGGCGCTCAGGTGTGTGCGTGTGCGTGTGTGTGTGTGCGTGCGTATGTGTGTATGCACAGCAGCAGAGCCTCCCGCAGTGGCTGCCATAGGGTTGACAAGGACAGAGGCAGACACCGAACAGGTGTCTCAGGACCCCTCCCCCCAGCTTGAGCTCTGAGCCGATCGATGCCCTCTGACTTGGTGTTAACTGGAAAGCCAGGAATGATGGAACCAGAGCTGTGTTCTAGATGCGGACACTGAGCCCCTGCTTGGCAGTGAGCCGGGCTTGCAGGCTTGTCCTTGGGTCTTTCTGTCCCAAGGTGGTTGGGGTGGGGGCCCGAGGTGCTCAGGTGGAGTGGCACAAGGGACCTCAAAGCAGTCTGTCCCACTGCAGGCTGTGGCCTCTCCTGTCCCTGTCCCTATTGCCCCCCTGGTGCACGGCTGAGGCAGGGCTGGGCATGGAGTTAGCAGGGACCAGACTGAGCTAGAAACTTCACCACAGGGAAGTGCCTGCTGCTGTGTGTGGCCCAGGACATGGTATTTTTTGTGCCCATTTTATAGATGAAGCAGCTGAGGCCCAGCCAAGGAAGTAGGGGCCCATGGGATGTGCCTTGGGGCATCTGCCTCCTTCTACCCCCCCAGATGGTCCCAGCAAAGGACACATGGTGGTGTCTCCTGTAGGTTGACCTGGGGTCCCAGAAGCAGGTGACAGGGATCATCACCCAAGGTGCCCGTGACTTGGGCCACATCCAGTACGTAGCTTCCTACAAGGTGGCCCACAGCAACAATGGCGTCAGCTGGACCGAGTACAAGGAGCCAGGGGCCGTGGACAGCAAGGTGGGTGTCTGTCGCCCTCCACTTGCTCTCGGGGGGATGGGGGCCTGGCCCTGGGGACTCGAGGGAAAGGGGCTGACTGGGGTGCCCCCCGCACCTTCCCTGCCTCCAGATCTTCCTCGGCAACTTGGACAACAACTCCCACAAGAAGAACATGTTCGAGACGCCCTTCTCGGCTCGCTACGTGCGCGTGCTGCCCGTGTCCTGGCACAACCGCATCACCCTGCGCCTGGAGCTGCTGGGCTGTTAGCACTTGACCCACAGGTCAGGCTCGAGGGACCCGAGTGACCACAGGGCCGACCCCCACGCCCTGCCCTGTACTGCTGTGGCCCGCTGCCCTCTCATTCCTTCCAGTGGTGGAGCGGCTGGGGACAGGGAGGGGACGGGCCTTAGAGGAGGCCCCTGGCGCTGTCACCCTCCCTCCCCTTTCCTTCCAGCCCCAAGGCCTCCCCTTCTGACCTGGTTTCTTAGGCTTCTGAAGGTGTCGCTCTGGGAGTCGCTGAGATGCACGCCGAGCCAGGCACGTGGCTTTTCTACCCCTCCCTAGGTCCGGGGACCCCAGTGCTGGGTTGACTCGAGGGGTTGGCTCCAGATGGAGCCCCCAGGCACCGAGCCAGTGATTACAGCTGGATCACACCCCAGGGCACACACTGCCATCCACTGTGCACCTCCCTGACACTCCTTATCTACCGGAGACCCCTCTTGACCCTGTCCTTGGGAAGAAGACAGAAGGGGTGCTGGGGCTGCAGAGAGACAGGAGACCGGAGCCAGCCTGGCGCTGAGCAGGTGGCTGGCTGGGTGGGCAGGGGTGGCTCCTCGCCCAGGCCAGGCAGCTTCCAAAATATATCTATACTTGCCACTGGAACCCGACTGTGCTTCCTCATTGCGCGGCATCGCTCCTCCCAGGGGGACTTACCAGGTGTAGGCCCCCCACCTCCATGCCTGGATTCTCCGCATAAGACAGCAGGAGGAGGGACACTGGGACTGGGGGCGCTGACTCACCTCTTCCCGCCTTTCCCTCCTTCATCCCCATCCGCATCCAGCTATGCCACAGCTGCTGCTTGGTTCAGGGCCAGGGAGTGCCTGGCACTGAGGCTGCCTCCTGGAATGCCTCTGCCTCCTTCCCACGCCAGGAAGACCGTCGGCCACTGCTGGCTTCCCCTCCGGCGATTTCCCCTTTCTTTGCAATCAGAGCGCTGGGCTGCAGAAACCGTTAGGAGCCTGCAGAGCCTGGGCTGCTTCCAAGATTGCGGCAGGCCCGGCGAGGGCGGCATGGGGCGGGGAGAGGGCGAGGCACTGCCTGGTGGGCACGGGGTCTCCTGGCCCAGCACACAGCTTATCAGGCCGCTGCCCTTGGTGCTCTGGGACTGGCAAGAGAGGGGTCCTTTGCTACCCTGGTGCAGAGGACCTGGTGAGTCAGGAAGGGGTTAGCGGGGACAGGAGGACAGGAGGCACTTGCAAGATGCATTGTCTTGACCAAGCTCCGGGAGCCAGGCTGAGACAGCGCAGGCCGCCTCTGGGCAGCAGGAGGTCAGCCACGTGGCTGCCAGAGGGCGGGTGAGGCTATGCTGGAGCCACATCAGGGGAGCTGGTCTGGAAGTGGCTCCTTCCAGAGAGCTGCCTGTTGCCAGGGCTTCTCGCTGGGAGGGACAGGAAGAAAGGCCTGGGCAGGGGTTGCCATATAAACTGGGGTGCTGGACACCCCGTCATGGCGAGCTGTGTGGATTGAGTTGGGAGTCTTTCTGGGGTGGCTGGCTTCTGGACTTGTTCCTTGAGGCTGTGCTACCCCAGCCCTGCTCCAGCCTCCCCTGGGGAGCAGCAGACAGTGGGAACAATGTCCTTCCAGACCTCTGCTCTTGATTTTGCTTCCCAGTGACCCACTGTAGCTGGAGCCACATTAACTATTCTTTCCGGAGCACCTGCTGTGTGTCAGGAACTGGATATAATTCAACTAACAAATCCCCCAGCACAGCCAGGCACGTGGCCTGTAATCCCAGCACTCAGGAGGCTGAGGCAGGAAGATGACCCAGGCGTCTTCTTTGCAGGAGGGGAATCTGAGCCTCACTCCCGTCTTGTAGCTGGCCCACCTCCAGCACACTGGGTATTTTTGCAGGCTGTCTTTGGCTGGCTGAGCAGCATGGTAGACAGTCATAAGGCTCTTGCCTGGCTCGGGAGACAGAGGTGGCCTCATTGCTTCTTCCTCTCACCTTTGTAGGCTTCTGACAGTCCCCCTCCTGGGGCCTGCACTGGGGTTCCCTCCCGTTGGCTCCCCGCCCCCAGCGGTCTCTCCCATTTCCAGGGTATTACTCCCCAGCGCCCCTGCAAATTCACTTGTCCTCCTGGACTGAGCCTGGAACCAGCGTTTTTTTCTCCCCACCCCCTGCCCAGGGGACTTAGAGTGACAAGGCTGCCCCTTCCTGCTGCCCCAGCCCCATGGCTATCCCCACTGGAACCTGCCCCCTGCCTCATTTAAGTGCTCGGGACTCAAAGCCTCAAGTCAGCCACGCTGGGTTCAAATGCTGGCTCGGAGTCGCCTGGCTTGGTTGGGCAGTGCACCCGACCTCTCTGGTTCTCAGTTGTCTGAAAGATGAAAGTAAACTGACTCCTTGGCCTTGCCAGGACTCAAGGGGAGAAGACACAGAAGCACCAGAGTCTGGCCCACTGGAGTCGGCCAGAATGCTGGCCGCAGTCGTCAGCTATCTGATTGGTGCTTATGCCCTGTTTCTTTCTTTTCTTCCTCTCCATCCTGCTTAGGGCTCAGACTTCTTTTTCCCGCAGAGGAAACTTCATGGGCTCCCTTCCACCCATATGCCTGGTGCTCAGCTTAAAGAGCAGTTTACTGTGTCGTTCACCACTGCAGTCCTCTGCACTCTGACTTGCACACGCAGGTGGGCATGCACACACACACACATGCCCACACACGCACGTGTACGCGTGTGTGTGCGCGCACACACACACACGCACACACACGCACTCTGTCTTGAGTTGTGTTAGGAGGAGGCTCTGGGCCCTGGGACCCTGAGGTCCTCCCCTACCATGGCTGAGCTACCTCCTTAGGCTTCTCTGTTGAGGAAACCTGGGCTATAGGGGTGTGTGTGTGGCTGTCGGTCTGGACCGGAACACAAACACCCTGTCCAAACAGAGGCATCCTGAGAGGTGGCGCCTGATGGCCACGCTGACAGATGCCAGAATCCTAAGGCAGGCGCCATCTCTGATGGTCCTTGGCAGAAATCTGATAGCCCGTTGGGCCGCTGGGGGTGCCCCATCCTCCCCTCCCTGCCCTCACCTGGGCCTCACCTTCAAACCGGCTTACTGGAGACAGCCTCTCCGGGCCATTTCCCCAGGAGGATGTTCGCAGCCCCTTGCTCTCCATGGGGTGCAGGCACGCGGAACTCTTCCGGCCCTCTTCTCACGGGTGGGGGGAGGGGCAGCCCTAGCCCACCCACGGAGTGCTGGCAGCGCTTTCTGCGCAGTCGGCCTGTGTTTGGTAAACTAGGGTGGTCTCATGGGGATCCCCCCCCCCACCTCTACAAATGCTCCACTCCCACCTCCGTCTGGCCTCTCCTCCAAGACGGAACGCTCCCTGGCTGCCTCTGCGGCCCCCAGCCCGCCAGGAGGCCGCTCAGGTCGCACCACCCCCTCCCCTGGGCCCAGCCCCCAGAGGGAAAGGGGCGTGTGTTTCTTTAAGGGGCCGGCTCGGCGGGAGCGCGGGGTTTGCCCGGCTCTTCCTTCCAGGCCATCCAAGATCCCCAAGTCCTTGCGCTTGGGTCCAACAGCCTCTGACCAGGACAGCCGTCGAGGAGCCTGCTGGGGACGGTAGCTGGCTCGGGGGTCTCGGCTTCTGGGGCGCTCAGGCTCTTTCTTTCCTTACTGGGTTTCCAGGGCAGGGCAGGGCTGGGGTGGGAGAACAGGGAACAGGAGATAGGAGAACAGGGAACAGGGGACAGGGTCGGGGAGCTGGGTCCTGCGGGGCCCGGGTTTGCCGCGCTGTGACTTCCTGCCAGGACGCCCTGGGCGCAAGTGGAGTACAGAGCCTAGCAGAGCGCGAGACCCTGGGGTGCGCCCGGGGGAGGCCTGGAGACCCCCGCCGGGCTGGACATTCACCCCAGGCGGCCCGGCTCCTTCGTGTGGTCCTGTCTCGGCCCCGCAGCCCCCACGCGCCGCGTGCCAAGCTCTGTCCCCCCGAGGGGATCCGGGAGGGACTGGCAAGGGACAACCTGCGGGGGCGGGCGCAGGGATTCGGCGGGGAGGGGTGTCCGGCCTTGGGCCGCTGGGGCTTCTGCGCTAGAGACGGTCACGCCAGAGGGCAGAGTCCCGGGTGGGAGACTGCGTCGCCCAGGAAGGAGACCCGCGGGGCTCTGCCGGCTCACCGGGTGGCCACACGCGGCCTCGGTGGGGCCTCTGCCCCCGCAGCGGGGGGCGACGACGGGGTCGCGGCCTGGCGAGCGCAAGCGAACACCTCGATCGAACACCTTGATCGCACTTTTCCGGACGCGAAGCCCTGTCCTAGCCCCGGCTCGGGTCAGAAGCCTCTCCCGCGATCGGGGCGCACGGCTGCCCTCTGCTGGGGTCTGGGGATTCGTCCTCGCCTGTGTGACTGCGGGCCTGGTGACAGGTGGCACCTCCTCCCCTCCCAGGCGGGGCCTAGCTCATTGTTCTGCTGGGGAGGGGCCTCAATCAAGTCCCTGGGACAGCAGGAGACCTGAACCTTCTCTTAGCCCGACATAGCCAGGGATAAAGCCTGGGATGGTTCAGCCCACTCCATGGCCCTAGCCTCGGGTTCCCCAGCTGTGGAGGGAAGGGAGTGAGGAGGGAAGAGACGCAATAGGGTAATAGAGGCTTTGCTTTGTAAATGGCTATCAACAGTTATAGCAGCGAACGCTGAGAGCTGGCTTCTAATCCCAGTGTCCTGTGCTCTGCAGAACAGGGTGTCCCTTGATTTCACAGATGTTTTCTGCCTGGTTCATTATGATTTTCATTTTGCAGATGTGGAATGAATCTTTTTTGTTTTGTACTGGGAATTGAACTCAGGACCTTGCACTTGCCAGGCAGGCGCTTGTGCCGCTGAGCTATATTCCCAGCCTCATTTTGCGGATGAAGAAAACTAGGTCCAGAGAGGTTCAGTGACTTGCCTGAGGATGCACAGGGAGTGGGTGGAGCCAGCACCGGATCCAGGTAGCCAATCGGATCCCAGATTGCCTCAGATCCACCAATCCACATTAGCTGTTCTTTCCGGAGCACCTACTGTGTGTCAGGAACTGGATATAGTTCAACCAACAGAGCCCAAAGTACAGCCAGGCATTGTGGTGCATGCCTGTAATCCCAGCCCGCCGGGGAGGCCGAGGCAGGAAGATTGCCACAAGTCTAGGCCAGCCTGGACTACATTGTGAGACTCTGTCTCAAAAAAAAAACCAAAACAAAACAGAACCCTCACTACAGACATGCAGGGAGGTGTTGTTAGAGCCCCCTTGTTTCTTCTACTACTGGGGATTGAACGTAGGGCTTTGCCCATGGCTATAGCCCCATACCATTTTTGTTTTTCAGTCAGGGTCTTGCTAAATTGCTAAACTGCCCAGACTGGCCTTCAGGCTTGCTATCCTCCTGCCTCAACCTTCCAGAAGCCTGGGATTATAGGTGTGTGCCATTGTGCCCTGCTTTGTATCCTTTTCCTTTCTTTTTAAAAAAATTTTTTACAAATGAGGAAATGAAGGGACAGAGGGGTTGAGTAACTTGCTCAAAGCCACCCAGCAGGTTGCAGGTGTGTCCAGTTCTAACCCTGAGCCCCCACTGTCAAGGGGACTGGGTCGACCTGGTCTTGGGCTTTCTGGGTTCATTTCCCCCCTTGGGTGGATGGCTGGGATAGCCAGGGTTAGCAAGAGGAGATCATGATGGTCAGGAATGAAGAGGCAGTCATTCACAGCTCCTGTCAGTATTCCGTGCTGTGTGTTAGCCTCGGCATTCAAGGCTGTCCTTGCCTGCAGCCTCTCTGTTTCCCGTTTGTCTGCTTAGGAGAAGGATTCTACTGTTCAGAGAGGTCTTACCCAGGCGCAGCCAGCTAGCAAATGGGAGAGCCTAGATCCCAACCCTGCAAGTCTGGCTCCAAACCTCATGCTCTGCAGATGGCTCCCCTCTGAAGAGGGCTGGGAAAGGAGGCCCGGCTCCCACCTGGGCAGTGGCTCTTGGACACAGGACTTTCCTTTTCTTCTTAATGCCTGCTTTTCTTGGTGCTCCTCCCCTGGAGGATCTAACCAGAAGGGACCTCACTGGCTCACACCCTCTGCTTGCGGAGGAACCTATAAACGAGGAGGGACTGGGGTGGTGGCAAGAACGTGGGTTCTTCTCATCTTGGGGAGGAGGAGCTGGGATGAGGATGTGCATTGGACTGGAGGTCCCAAGATACCCTGCATGATCCTTTTCTCTGCCGTGTCTTCCCTGGGCCTTGGTCCCTTGGACATTCTTTCCTGCCTCCTTCCCCGCTGCTCCCTCTGTGGCTTCTGGACTCTGCTGGCAAAGGCCATTGTACTTCCTGTTCCCCCTTCCTGGAGCACTCCTGCCTTTTGGGGCCTTTGGTAGTCCACTGTTGGCAGCCCCTTCCTGTCTTTCCCTGTCATAGTGCCACTTTTATATCACCCATTGTGGCTGTGCTCAGTCTCTCTCACTAGGATGCAAACTCCATGAGGGCTTCTGTCTTGTATCCAGGTGCCTAGGGCCATGCTGGGCATGGTGGGCGCATGGTACATACTTGTGTGGTCAGTGAGGCCAAGTCTCAGCTCTTTCATCTACCTGGGGAAACTTAAGCAAGCATCTTAGCATTCTGAACCTCAGCTTCCTTGTCTGACAAGTGGGGTGTGATAATTCTGACACTGTGAAACCTGCAGGTAACCAGGTCCATGAAAGTGTGCTGATGTGTAGAGGTCAGCCTTTAAGATGAGCAATCAAAAAGAGGACTGACTGGAAAGATTTCAGACAAGTTTTGCCCCTATCATTTCCTGGCTGTGTGACCTTCGGATAGTTGCTTCATGTCTCTGTGCTTCTTTTCTTTAAAAAAAGTAATACTAGTTTGGCTGGGTGTACTTTCTCATCCACATGTGTAGATAAGGCAGAGCATTGTATATTTAACAGGGGGTGTGGTTTGGTATAGTGAGAGAGGCAAGATGAGGGTGTGTTCAAGGAAATGATTATAAGGGTTGATGATGGAATTTATGCTCCATAGGTAAGAAGGAAAGTAAAGAGAGGCAGGAGTGAAGATTAGTTTTTTTTTTTTTTTTTCTTTTTGAGACAAGGTTTCACTATGCAGTTCAGGGTGCCCTTGAACTCACTTTGTAGACCAGGCTGGTCTTGAGCTCATGGCAATCCTCTGCCTCAGCCTCCCAAGTGCTGGGGTTACAGGCATGTACCACCATGCCTGATGTGAAGATTGGTTTCAAAAATAGTAGGATCAATAGTTTGAAAATCTTGATGGGGGTCAAATGATAGAGTTTGGGGGTGTTGGAAGGGTAAGAAAAGACTGGAATAGGGTGGGTGGAGGGTTTTCTTTAAGAGCTTGAAATACTTCAAGCTCTCCTTGACTTGAGTGTTTAGGCTGAGAAGTCAGCTGTGATTCTAATAGGCTTTCCTTTATAGGTGATTTGCTTCTTTTCTCCAACAGCTTTAAATATTCTGTTCTTGTGTTGAATTTCTGGAATCTTGACTATTAAATGCATGGCTATAGATTTTTAAATCATGGCTAATTGGAATTCTATTTGCCTCATTTAACGGTATGTCAAATTCTTTTTCCCTGCCAGGGAAGTTTTCTGCCATGAGGTCTGTGAAGAGGTTCTTTATGTCATTTGTGCTCTCTCCTACTTTTTCATTGACTTTGATCAGTCTTATGTTATTCTTTATTGCACCTTCTAGCACCTGCTGGATTGATTTCTCATGGTCCCTTGCTATTTTTAAGAAATCTTTCTTTTCATGATCACTAGCTGCATCCTATCTCTATGTCTGACATTCTATCCTCATGTTGCCTCATTCTGCTGTGTATACTTTCAATAAAATTTTTAATCTCCTGGATATCAGTTTGAATCTGTTTTATGGATTCCATTTCTTTCTTATGTTAGGCATTCATGGTTTTCATCATTTCTGTAAGCTCCTGTATGTTGTTTTTAATCTGTATCTGCTTTGGAGTCACTAACCATATCTTTCATTGTGGTCACCATCTCTGTAATTATCTGAGAAATTATCTGAGAAATTATTTTTGATTTGATTTTTTTCCACAGCCTCATTCATTTGCCTTGTTACTCCTGCTATTACCACTTCAGAGAGTCTCAGTGGGTGACTTTTAGATGGTCCCACTTTATTGCTCCTTCTGTATGCCTTGGTGAGCTGGACATTTGGGGTTGCGTCTTGTTTAATGTCTTCTCTTTTTTACCTTAATTCCTGGGTTGATGCTTATAAATTGCCTATGGTGAGTAGCTTTATTGCTAGTATTTAGAACCCTTAAGAAATGACTACTTCTCAGAGGTGTCTTCTAGGTGTAGCTGGCTTTTGGGTTTTGAGTCTGTTGTAAGATCTTGCCTCTTCAATTTATTGGGGATGAGAAGTTGCTGCCTACTGGTTCTTTGGCACTGGCCTATAGTATTTTCTATGACCCTCAGGCAATCTCAGTCTTGATATACAGGAAAAAAAACTAGTTAGAACAATTATGTCACTTTGGCCAATGTGGTACAATTAGCAATGACAAAAGCATCAAACATAGCCTAGAAAATGACAAACCAAGATAACTATCAATTTGTCACCTTTTAAAACTGTATGCGCTAGATTTGTGGTTATATAAC